TTTTCTTCTTCTCCTTGTACATGTCATACATTCAAGAAAAAAAATAGAAGTCCTTTTAGTTCAATCTTTAAGTTGTTTTAACAGTCCGGACTGAAATCCTTTTAATAGTCCTGAACCCGTCCTGGATCGGTCGGCCCTTTTAACAGTCCGGATTGAAAGCCTAAGTCGGTCCTTAAAGTTGATATATGTGGCAGTCCAGACCGGTCCTAAATCAATCCAAAGTTGAACCGGTCAAAAATTGACTAGTCTATCTTTGGGATAGTTGCTAATCCAAACCAATCCAACTGGTCCTAGGCTCCAAAAAAAATGAAAAACCAAAGATTCTTGGTAGCCCATTTAAATATCAGGCCTCCAATAATTGTTTTGTTTCACTTTTCTCATGTGGTTAGAATTCCCTGCATTCCCTTTTTATAATGTTCCAACCTTACTTTTCTTTTGTAGGACAAGCGATGTGAGACAAACAGAAACTCTTTTCCTTCATTTTTTTTTACTCTAATAACAAATAATTTCTAAGTAATAAAACATTACTCAACGACTACAAACTATAAATGCTATTACATACTTTTGGTTGGTTTGTTTTTCAAGAACCGGTACACTACAACTAGTTCTTCAACATCTATCATGAGGCCACCTAGTTCCTTGAGTATCGGGATCCTATGGTTTAAGGATAGTCAATCAAAACGTCCAAGATACAATCAGACGTCTTTAGATGAACTTTCATTGTATAAAGATTCTGATTACGCTTCTAATATAACCGTCAAACAATTTTCACAATTTGATGTTTTAAAATGGTGGGAAGATAGAGAACGGTTAGGTCAATATAAAGTCCTAGCCTCAATGGCTAGGGATGTACTAACGATCCAAGCTAGTAGCGTAGCTTCGGAATGTTTTTTTTTCTCTTAGTGGCAGGATATTAAGTGCTCGAAGGTGTATGCTAACTGATGAATCAGTGCAAATGTCGTTGATGCTAAAGGACTACTATGATTCAATGGAGAGAACATAAAATAGCTCGAATCTTGAAGAAGAGTTAACCCATATGGAAACCGGGATTTTGGTAGATGAAATAGAAAAAGAGGCGTGGAAGTGTCATTATACACTAACACCGATGTTGATGAAGATATTGCCAACACTCAAGAAGCACGAAATGCAAATTTTACAAGTACAACATCCAACGTCACTCCCGACCAAGATTACTCCAATCCCGACCAAGAAGTTCCGTATTCCGACGACAACTACAACTTTTAGATTTTCCTTCCGGATATGACATTCTGATGATATATTTATGTTTTAGAAGTTATCACTACTGTTATGAACTTATTTATATTTTCTAATTCTTTTACGCAGTGTTATGAACCCAATTTCTTTATGTTTCTATGTGATATTATCACTAATGTTATGAACTTATTTATATTTTCTAATTCTTTTACGCAATGTTATGAATCCAATTTCTTTATCTTTCGATGTGATATTATGAACTTAATTTTTAAGTTTTATATATTAATGATAATGATACGTTAAAGTTATATGTCAATTTATGAAGTTGTGAAATATTGGAATTATTATATATGTATTTGGTGGATGATAATTTATAATGTTATGAAATGTATCATAAGACAATCGAATTGAAATTAAAAAAAAATGGAAAATTTGAAACCGGAAAAAATCTGAAATCAAACCCGAAAAAATCCGAAACCGAACCGAAAAAAAGACCGGGTATCAGACTAGTTTATAACGAAACCGATCCAACAAAAAAAACCGATCCAAAAAAGGACGGGACCGAAAAAGGACCGACCGATGACCGATCAGGTCCAAAAAAGACCGATCCAAAGAAAAAAGGATGACTTAGGAACAATCCAGGACTCGTTTAAGACCAATTTTTGTGCACCTCTAATCGGAACACTTCGGATTTGGGCTCTGATTATATGGGATCACTCTACTTTCTCTTAATAAACATAGTTGGGCTTGAAATCACATCTAGTAGATCCAATTTTAACCCAATACTTTCCTTTCACACACTATCACCATTATAATCAACATTAAACGTATATCCAGTTCAAAAAACAAGTGTTGGACATTTCTAGTGTCATTATCAAGCATTACTACTTTAAATATTCATGTGTAATCTATCTTGGAAACTATTTGTTTGCTATAAGAACCTCATCTAATCACTTTTATTCATAACTATTTGTTTGCTATAAGAACCTCATCTAATCACTTTTATTCATGGAATATAGTCCATCATTTTCCTAAACAACAGATGCATATAATATAAAGATGTCAAATAAAAAAGTTAACAAATTGGAAGAGGAGAACCATTCCAGCCTTCAAGACACTCCAACAACGGATCAATCACTAGCCCTTTGCATACCGCTGTAAACACCTTATCAAACTCCTCCCCTGGTGAAGTAACCTTCTCCCCTGTCAAATACCCTGTTCCCAGTTCTTCCCTCACAAACCTGTACAATGGATAAGACCTGCAAGCTTCGATCCTGTTAGGGATTGCTAAGCTTCCATTCTCGTATGCGCTTCTTACACTCTCCACTTCCTTTGGCAAAAGGGCTTCTAATTCCTCCTCGAAAACCCCAATCTTTTGGAAGATTGAAGTCCCTGCATCTTTCTCCTTCTCGCCATTGTTTAAAGCATGGTCAACCAGAACTTGTCGGAGCTTCTGCATCAATGGGTAGGTGGCACTGCAAGCGTCGTCTATGTATGCAAACACGTATTCTCTATCAACGACTCTTAGCAAGTCCTTTTCGCAGAATCTTGAAGGGTGGAGATCGCCATTGACACCCATGGTTAAGACCTTCTTGGCTACATGGCTCACGGTGTTCTTCACGGTGGCTTTCAGGTTCTCCTCCAAATGGCGTAAATCTATGGATTGGCATAGAGCAACCAGGTATGTAGATGACATGAGTTTTAAGATGTCAACAGCTTCAGAAGTTTTCCGGGAAGAAATCAACCCTAGAGAGTTTACGTCTTGGTTGTGTTGTTCAGCGCTTTGGACATGGTTAGTGACGGGGTTGGCAAGAAACTGGAGCTCCGAGCAATACGAAGCCATTGCAATTTCTGCACCTTTGAACCCGTAATCCAAACTTGGATTCCGGCCACCGGAGAGATTTGAGGGTAATCCGTTGTTGTAGAAGTCATTTACGAGCTCTGAGAATTGGGCAAACATGAGTTTCCCTATCGCAGCAATGGCCAAGCGAGTGTTGTCCATGGAAACTCCGATTGGGGTTCCTTGGAAGTTACCACCGTGTAAGGCCTTGTTCCGGGAAACGTCGATTAGAGGGTTGTCGTTGACGGAGTTGATTTCTCTTTCGATCATTTTAGTTGATGATCGGATGACTTCAATTTGTGGGCCTAGCCATTGAGGCGATGTTCTCAGAGCATAGCGATCTTGTTTAGGTTTCTGCAAAGGGTCCATTTCATGGACCTTCTGTGCAGCTTTAACGTAATCAGATCCATCCAAAATGTATTCCATGATCGCTGCAGCTTCAATTTGGCCTGGGTGATGCTTCAATTTGTGTGTCAAGTGGTCTGTAAACTCCGGCTTCCCTTGCATAACCTCTGCGAAAATGGCGGACATGACTTCCGACAACAAAGAAAGAACATTGGCTTCAAAGAGAACCATGGAGGCCATGCCAGAACCCACGGCGGTGCCATTCACAAGTGCTAGACCTTCTTTAGGCTGAAGCTCAAAGAACCCACCATCGACACCAGCTAGACTGAAGGCCTCTTCGGCGTTTAAGATTTCTCCGTTGGGGCCGACAGCTTTGGAGTTGGGGCGGCCGGTGAGAAGTCCGGCGATGTAAGACAAGGGGACAAGATCGCCGGAGGCGGTGATGGTGCCTCGGAGGGGTAAGCATGGGGTGACGTTGGTGTTGAGGAATTTGGTTATGGCTTCCAGGATCTCGAAACGGATGCCGGAGTAACCCTGGAGGAGGGTGTTGATTCTTACGAGCATGGCGGCTCTTGTTGCCGAATGTGGAAGTGTGTGGCATGATTCCGTGGCGTTTCCAAAGATTCCGGCGTTCAAGAATCTGCCAAAAGAACGTTACAAAACCTTTTTAGTTTTTTTTTTAATAAATTAATTAAAATGTTAAAAAAATAAGAATTACAAACAACATAAGTGAGTTTTGTCGTACTGTTTTAAGAAATAAATAGCAGGGCCCTCATTAATGATATCATGTGAATATAGTTCCAAGATCAGATCTACTCATCCTTTGTGGTGGTAGGTGGCAAAAAACTAACTCCTCTCACTTTTTATACGTAAATAATATTTCTCTTTTCTTTTTTACGTCGGTATTATTTTTTGTTTTATATAATTTAAAGATACACGTCTTAAAAGTATTAACTTACTATTATTAGAATTATTCAAGATAATTTCAACAATTTGAAGTTGCATTTATCTTATACAATATGGAAAATTAATATTTATAAAAAGAAAGAAGGGAAAATGACTTAAAAACCCAACGAAGTTTCCAAACCATTCAAAAAACATCAATCATGTTTTGTCTATTCAAAAAAACCCAACGAACTTAACCTTTTGTCTAAAAAGTCCAACAAAGTTTCAAACCGTTCAGAAAATTCCAATTTTGTTTTGTTTAAATTCGTTGGATTTTTTTAAACAGTCAAAACATGATTGAAGTTTTGAAAACTTCGTTGGTCTAACAAGTTATTTTTCCGATACGGTAATAAGCCACGTCATCTGTTTTCCTTATTTAACTTTCGAGAAAGTGTAACTTAGTTGGACTTTTTAGATAAAATGTTAAGTTTATTAGAGTTTTTTGAACAGATAAAACATGATTAGAGTTTTTTAAACGGTTTAGAAACTTCGTTGGGTTTTTAATTCATTTTTCCAAACAAACAAAAATGAAAGTACTATTTGAATTTATTGTGTTAATAAACTCTTGAACGTTTATTTATCTTTAAAGCTGAGTATATTAACATGTTTAGAAATCTTGTTTTTAGATCATAATTGATTAACTACTAAGATCTAACGGATACAAATTTGTCAAAAATGAAAAGAAAACTCTTTGGGTTATAGATTGTTCATATATAAACATGAATGTAATCAAGATTACCTGATGAGCTCCTTTTGAAGAGCACCACCTTCCTTCGTTCTCCGGTGAGACGTGGCTCCAAAACCGGTGGTGACACCGTAGCTATCGGTACCTTTATTCATACTCTCCATAACCCAATCACTACTCGCCTTCACCCCAGCCCTCGCCGCCTCCGACAGCTCCACCTTCACCGCCGCGTTATCACTGGCGGCAATCCCCGCAACCTGCGACACCGTCAGCGTCTCCCCACCCAGTCTCACCACCGGATTCCTAAACTCCGCCACCATCCGTTTCACTTCATCAAGGTGACTCCCCTTCATCGCCTCCGCCGCCACCCCCCAATTCAACGGATCACCACCATTCACAGTACATAACCCGGAAGCCCCACCGTTTCCGTTCCCATTCTCGAGGGTTAAACTCCCCATTTTCAAGAATCCGACAAATCCCAAAAATTCCTCACAAAAAGCTCTGTCTTTTGTAGATGGAGATGGGATCGGAGGGATGGATTATTAGGGTCGGGGTATGTCGCTTAAATAGAGTAGATTTAGGGAGGTCAATGTTTTCGTTTTTTAATTATATTTGGTGTGTATTTTTGGTAGGTAAGGCATTTGCATGTTCCATTACCTCGAACAAAATGGAAATACTTAGATTAATTGACCTAAGTACAACTCTCGAGGCACAGAGTATTAATCATTACAAGAAGATCGTTTCAGAAATCTGCATATAGCAATTAACAATTCTGGAAAATGGAAAACGACGTAGCTTTTTTGTATGGTGGTGGACTTACGACTTGTGGTAGGAATTAGGAAGGTGTGGTGGCTGTGACCGAAGTGAGAGTTGGTTTGACTAAAATATAGGCCGTCGATCTTGATCTCATACGACGGTTTGGATATGAACGTGTGAAACCACTCTACTTTTTATACCAATATAAACATACATATATAATGCGTTTTAGTTATTTTTATGTTTGTAACGTGTTGGACTTATTAAGTCAAATGAATCATTTTGAAAACATGATTTTGGTAATGTATCCTACACGAAAATGATTGAATATGTACTCGTTTGTAGAGTGATATCAAATAATGCATGAAGTAGAAAAAGACTAAGATACACCACCTTTTTTTTCAGGGTTTTTGTATAGTACCATCAAATACTGTTAGTATGATGGTATATACCAAATATTAGATATAGGATAGTATTAATATCAAACTCGGTTCTACAAACTCACGTGCCTTCATTTATTCATCTGATGATGAATAAATATCTAATAAGATGAATAAATATTTAATAAGACAACATAATGTTTGATTAAAGATGAAAATGACTGGTGATAACAGTGGGAATGAGAGCACGGATAAGTGTATTCCCTTATGTTTCGGTGACTCTTCGTTGTCACAAACATTGTGCAGTGTGTTCATCTTTTACAATGTTGAAAATGATACAGGTGTCAATGGATATATATATATATATATATATATATATATATATATATATATATATATATATATATATATATATATATATATATATATATATATATATATATATATATATATATTAGGCGTATTCCCGCACGTTGCGTAGTAAAACAAATATATGGTTAAAATATGTTGAAATTTATAGTTTTATATATGGTTTTTGGCCATTTTTTATATATAAGCTTATTAAAATTAGAACCTACGACCTTAAAATATTGGAACCGATTCAGAAACATGTTATATCGGTTTTTAATATTTCAAAACTCCTCTTAAAATTGCCGATATTTAGGTTCTAATTTTTTAGTACGGAATAAATTAATTGACTATTACAACATATGAAAAAATAATTAACCATATAAATTATTGATAACGTAAACACAACGAATTAAATGAAAATTTAAAATTATAAATAATAGATGTTTATAATTCAAAATATTTTGTAATTATAAAACCCAAAATGAGTTTTAGCCCATATATGTTATTAGAAACATAAGTTATAATGTAAAAGCCAAAGAACTCGATAAAATTTTCATTTTTGAAATTAGTACATTAATAATTTGTTCCTAAAAATCCATTACATGTCATGATATTGTATCAAATATCATAGTATATAAATAGATAAATGTGGAAAGTGTTGAAGAGTGAATGTTGTGCTATCAAGCCGGATCATTTCTTTTTGTACTGGAAGTATCTGAAACATCCAAATAAACTATAAGCAAAAGTTTAGTGAGTTCCTAAAATAACACATAACATACAACTAAAGAATACCATGCAACATACATAACCTGTCAAGGGCTACCCCATGGTCTTTACATGGAATGTCATGAAATACCACCATGGTCTGATATCCAAGTATCATGTCTACCCAATGGTCTTTACCTGAAAAGCCATGGACTACCCCCCCCCCCCCCCCATAGTCTGATATTCAGGTGTCATGGGCTACCCCCATGGGCTTCACATAAATGTCACGTGTAACGCACGTGTTTCTAGGCTAGACATTAATGATGATATAATAGTGTGGCCGTGTAGGTCAACCTTTCTAACTTATTTTGAAATAAAAAAATGTATTATTTGAGTATTATGTACTTATACTTAATTATTATGATTTAATAAATTAAGGATAGAAATAAGCATCGAAAATAATGTTAGATAAACCCCTTATCTATGAAGGAAGCTGTAGTGGTTGAAACAACGATTCCGAAGATATAAAGAATACCGAAATCCGAGTTATAACGAAGAAGTTATGACCTGTCGAGTTTCACGATAGAAACGATACGACGCTGTATGACGTAAAAAATGAATTTACGATAAAGTGATTTTTAACCTTAGCGATATAAATGGAAGCCGTAGTATACGTCAAACCGAGAGCGTGCATAAAAAGAATGTCCAAATCTGACTTCGTATGAGAAAGTTATGAATTTTATAAGATTTGGTATAGTAGTATGCAGCCCGAAACTCGAATTTTAGATCGAACGATTTTTAACCGATACAACCTAAACAAGAATTGATGATCTTGTCAATTGTAGTTTAACGGTAAAAAGACAGACGAAAACGGACATCGGATGAAGAAGTTATGAATTTTTAACGGATTTTTCCTGTCCCGACCTGTTAAAATATAACTTTAAAAATAAAGCAAAAATTAGCCGATGAAGTCTAAACGAAAGTTGTATAGTATAACTTCAACTACGTGTGGATATAAAGAACGTCAAAAATGGAGCATGTATGCGAAAGATATGAAATTTTTGAAGTTTTAGGCACAAACTTCGAAGCTGGGAGAACGCCCAGCGTACCAAGAGGTACGCTTAGCGTATAAATATGTAAGCCCAGCGTACAAGGTATCTACGCCCAGTGTACTAATTGTGTTCACAGTCCGAGATTGGCCGCGTAGCCTACTCCATTGTATGGTGGACACGTATTCGTAGCTTTGACACGTCTGAGATATTCCCTTTGTACGCCCAGCATACTAGATGGACGCCCCGCGTACTGGTTAAAGAAGCAGTATGTCCCGCGTACCATAGACTTACGCCCAAGGTAACTCGAGTGTTCAGCCACTATAAATAGTGATCGAAACCATCCGAAATTTGTTTACAATTTTTACATCCTCTCACCTTATACTTTCTTTTATGTTACAATAAATACCCCTAACATTAAAATACCATCCTAGCATCTTAAGCAAGTCCCGAAGCACCCGAAGATCCTAGGAAAAAAGTTTTCGAGTTGAAACTTTGTCCATGTGAAGCCCGGTTTTTGAGAAAACATCCAGGTTTTATCGGAAACGATCGTTTTAAGAGACGAAGTGTTGCCTGATTATCGTTAAATCAAGTGAGTGTCTAGTCACTTTCATATTACACATAGATATGAAGTATTTTCTATAAAATATGTGCTATGTGTATAAATACTATTTGTTTATTTGAGATGGATGTTGAATGAAGTTTTTATACATGTTTAGAATGATTTAAATTGTGTATGTATTTTTTTATCTACAAATATGTTGGGTATAACATGGGTAGATGAAATAGTTGGTGTGTGTTAAAATGTTGAGAGGTCTCGATGGTGTTGTTGTTATTCCAGTTATCTAGTGGAGAATAGATGACGACCACAAACTATTCTAGACAGTCCCGTAGAACGCTAGCAGGCTCGCAATCTGTAGGTGTTTTTGAACTAAGTGTTCACCAGATGTACTTCATCCCCCCCCCCCCCATGGTTGCCTTATTTGAGATGTATTATTGAGGAATCCCCTAAGCAGTGTTGTCACCCTGAAGAAAAATCCTTAGGCTAGGTCCCTTATGATAGATATTTAGGGATGTAAAGTGAGGATAACGGGAATGGCTAATCAAGGATATTGTTGGTTGATGAAATTAATAAATTTATTTATTGTGGGTCGAAAACCCTATATGCTTACCAAGCTCCCAAGTCTGACCCACTCAACTTTTTATATTACAGGTAGTAGACCCAGAGCATAGTTGGATGATGAAGAGGGATTTTTGGATTATAGGCCATTATATGTAAATATATGTTGTAAGGTCTATAATATACTATTTATGATTTTGGTCTGTATCGATGTGGACATCCCGAGTTTTGTAATGAAATGAAAAATACATTTCTTTAAGAAATGTTTTGATAAATTTTTATCATATTTTGTTATGGGACAAATACCGCATATTTTTATTAGAGAGATTACTTTGATTTTATTTTAAAAGCCTAAACTAAATCGGTCTTTTCTGGTCGAGAAATTGAGGATATCACACTACGGGCTACCCCCGGGGTCGTCATACAATCAATACATAACAACAACAATCCACATATCAGATAATGGGCCGACATTGGTGCCTTCCAACCCATTAATATAGTGAGAAGACTCACCTCAACCTGCTAAAAACAATAGCTGCTCGACTACCAATCCAGGCCCAAAGTCAGTTAGGGCCCAAAAGGCTAAAAGATCCATTGGAGGCCTAAGACCCACTAGAAGTGTACGCCCAACGTACCTATTCGGTACGCTTAGCGTACTAAGCTTATGGGATGTACATGCATCGTACAACCTAGCACGCCTAACGTACAAGTTTCTTTGCATCAAACTCCATCAAGTGCTTAATACACAAGGACACCTTGTCTAAATCCCAAATCCTGGTTGTTTTAAGGTCCTAAGGCATAAAGTTAGCAACTTTATGCCCTTACTTACCATATATGATCCCAACAACCCATTCTATCTCATTAAGACCTTTCCAAAGGTCTTAACTCATGTATAGGGGCATATAAGTCATCAAGTTAACATTTTTATGCTATAACCGAGCCAAAGAACCTCAAATCTAACCTTCCTAACCTCTAGAGTTGCCAAAACTCATTTATGGACTCAAAAGTGGACTTCTAGAAAAACCTAACTCAACAAACAAAAAAGATTAGCAATATGTAAGCTATTTACCTTCAAAATCTCTCCAAGATACTCTAGATGCAGAATCCTCAAGCTCTTCCCATGTTTAAAGCTTGGACACTACCTCCTTCTTCTTGGAAATCTACTAAAATTGTCACCAAAATCACCTTTAGGCTCAAAACTCACTCTCTTGCAAATATAGGGTTTAAGGA